CACACATCAAGTTTATTTCTGAGTCAGGAACTTTGCATTTGCTTGGAAGACCTCCCTCATACCTTCTTATGATTGTTGCCGTCTCATCATTCAGATCTCAGCTCAAATGTCCACCTCTTCATAGAAGCCCTTTCCTAACCACCTTAGGAAAAAGCACTCCCTACTCCTGAAATTTCATGGCGCATTATACTATTGTCTCCTCTCCATACATTTATCAATACCAGATATCAGTTTGTATATTTAATAGTTTTACTGCTACATCCTCCTTACCAGACTGAAAACCCATTGAAGGCAGGGACTATTTCTATTTCTTACTAGTAACTGTGTCCTTGGCGTCTATCACAATGCCTGTTATATAATGCGTGCTAAATAAATGTTAACTGACTTGACTTGTCCATGGAAGCTGCTGCTTTCCTAAGTCCATGACATGATAAAAGCAAAAGATGATGTTCTGTACATATACATTTTAAAATAGTTTTATATTCAATGTATCATTACAACTTAAATGAGCTCTTCTATAGTTGAGCAAGGTCCTATTATAATACAACAAATATTTATAATGTTAGAATATTTTAAGACTTCATCATCCACATATCTTTCATTTGTTCTATTCATATCTAGTATAAGCTTTCTAATTCCTTACTTTGTCACCTAAATTCTATCACAAAAATGAATAAATGCAATGTGTTTTATTTAATAAGAAAAGCACTGCATTTTCTTAATAATTGACTGTGCTTACATCTGAAATAATTTTTAAAATAGATTTTTGAGAAATAAAAAAAAACATACCTCTCATCCATGGCCTCCTAAACTTATTATCAGTAACTCCTGCATGATCATTTCCATTTTGATATAAACACGAAGGGATTCGAAGCAATAAAGCATCTCTGGAAAACTTCTTTCTAACCACAGTCTATGTAAGAAAGTAAGATTATAAAATCTTTTAATATATTTAACATATTTATCAATATTCAGAATATTAAAATTCTCTATTCTTTTAAATTTATACTATTTTCATTTAAAGGTAATATACGATCCTTATAAAATATCAAACAACACAGAACTACATACTGAGAAAGTCAAGGTCCCTAGCAATATCAGTAATAGTTTCATGTATTTTCCTATAGACTTTTTTCCTGGGTTAGGCTAAAATGGGTGTGTGTGTGTGTTTGACAAAAAATGGGATCACATCATTTATATACCACTTAACAATGTGCTTTTTTTTCACTTAGTATGGTTGTCTTAACTTTTGTTTTCTGTCTTTGCATTATTTCACTTGTGACAACCATAAAATGTATTTCTAATTTAAAAAAACCTAACATATAAAACTGTCTCTTTTTTTTTTGGTAGCAATACTATGTATTCTTTATTTATATGGCAACCTTCTTTTCCAGATTAAAACTGTTTCTTTAATAGTATGTTAAATCAGTTACGTAAACTTAGAAATAAGTTCTCTATAATTTGATTCTGCCTTTACTTTTCAGCTTTACCTCCCATTATTATCTAACACGCACTGTTCTCTTTAAATACACCTGTCTCCTCACTATCTCCCTTAACATTTAGCAGTCACTTCCTTATCAACACCATGGTCTACAGTGTGCTCTGAAAAACGCTCCACTACTCTTTTCTAATAGCTATCAAAATCCTATTCATCTTTCAAGACTTATCTTAAGCAAAGGTCCTCTATGAAGTTTTCCCTCAGTGGCTCTCAACTTCCACAAAATTCATTCTTTTATATACTTAGACAAATGATAGTTTCTTGCATTATTTCCCAAGTTTTATGTTTGTTAAAGGTGTTATAACATATTAAATAGGAGGTCCTTATCATCCAAGAATACATGGTACAAAGAAAAGATCAGTTAAAGTAATTTATATAAAATGAGGGCCAAAGGTTCACAGTAAGAAGGAAAAACAGTTTAATTGGTACTTGATCTAAAAAAATGAAATAAAGTTATAAAAATTAATTTTATACCTAACAAATTTTGTTTATAATTAGCTTATAGCTTTTTTGTCATAATTTTCCCACAAACTGTATTATATGATGATATGCATGATATTTGTCATTACTTCACCTTTGATCATAAAGAAGATATTTTTAGAAAAATATTTGAAGATTTAATCAAATTTTCCCAAGGCACCTCCGACTCCTTTGATATTCAAACCATTCTCTTCCTTTTGTTTGTTAACTGA